TGTTTAGACCACTAAAGTAATTGGAAGGTTTGAGTGACTGAAAGGTTGAAGTTAGGGTGAAATGCATAGATATATCTAGTTGATTGGTCCTGGTTAACCTTTTTCTTACCTCTAATTTGAGATGTTATGGTAAAGATGAAAATTTCATGAAGTTATGTACACCATCTTATTGATTTATTGGTCTAGAACTCCATGTTGTCATAACAATGAAAAGTGTTTTATTTCCTGCTGGATAAATGTAGATTAAGTGCTTCTGATTTACTATGATTAATGTTTTATTTATAGAGATGAATTGGGTCGATTTGTTGCTGATAAACGCTGTCTAAAGAGCCTTAAGGTGGAAGGATGTTCGAATTTAGGTGGCTTTGTCCTCTTTTCATCAAGTATATCTACTCTCTGGCTTTCTGATCTTTATTCCCTTTCTAAGATGGTAACTTTTTCATCAGGTCCTTTTTGTATTTAAGCCTAAACCATTTTGTGGTGCATGCGAGTGAATTTGTGGTGTTTATATGTGCCTTCTATTGTAGGTTTTTAACTGTCCCAATTTGAAAGAGATATCATTAGAATTTTCTCGCCAAGAAAATGATACTACCGACCTTACAACCATGGTTGATGGTATGGGCAGAAGTTGTCCAAAGTTGCAAAACATACACATTGCATCGCTTCGGCTTTCACATGCTGTTGTGCTTTCTCTTACAGCTGCTAATTTGAGGTTTGTTGAACCTTTTGATCTATGCATTCATTTTAATCATGTATAATTTATGAATCTATAAGCATTGCTTTGCTTTTTTGGAAATCATAGTGATTAATGGACTTGCTCCGTTCAGTTTTCTAGCAAGGCCATGTTTTGTTTCAGGGATCTCTGCATTTAGAGCGTAAATAATCACTAGTTATTAAAGGTTGTCTATTATTCAGGGGCTTGCGAATGCTTTCACTTGTTCTTGGCTCAGACATCACTGATGCATCTGTTGCTGCTATTGCTTCAAGCTATTCAAGATTAGAATTGCTTGATCTCAGTGGGTATGTTTTGCTCCAGCTTTAATTAGTTTTTCTGTTTATATGGACTTGTTCGAAGGGATTACTTTTTAGTTATTCTTTAGCTAAATATTCTTGATGCTTGCTGCTTCATTTCAGGTCTAGCATCAGTGATAGTGGCATTGGAATGATCTGCAATGTTTTCCCAAACACATTGTCTAGACTCCTCCTCGCTCTTTGTCCCAACATAACTTCAAGTAATCATTGTGTCTAAGACACACACATACGTCTCGTGCACAGCTACATTTATCCTGTAAATGCCCTATTTTTCTCTAAACCTATTCACTCGCATGTTCCTCTGCCTTCTCAGGCGGAATTCAGTTTGCCACGGCTCAACTACCTCTTCTTGAACTTATGGATTGTGGGATGACAATATGCGATCCCGATTCCCAGAGTCCACCTTGTGATCAAAATTGTGACAGCGAAGTTCCAAATGTATTGAACAATAAACTGCACCATATGTACCAGAAGCTTATTATCAAACACAGCCGACTAAAAAAGCTCAGCTTGTGGGGTTGTTCTGGCTTAGACGTGAGCTCTTTTAGTCCTTAATCTCGAGTATGTTTCTAGTTGATTCTCAATATCCTGTGCGGTTCTTATTTGTTAATCTGAATGCAGGCTTTATGCTTGAATTGTCCTGAACTCAACGACCTTAATCTCAACTCATGTAAAAATTTGCATCCAGGTATGCTTAATCTATCTGCTAGTTTGGCCTCTGGTTTACTTATGGTTTAACAAGTATCCAATAAACTGTTTGTTTTCATAGAGAGATTGCTCCTCGAATGCCCAAGTTTACAAAATGTGCATGTGTCCGGCTGTCAGGAGTTGCTAGTTGGAGCCATCAAAGGCCAGGTAAAAACAATAGAGTTTCTTTCGGCTCCATTTTCCACTATTTATAATCTTTTTGCTGTTGTTCGTAATGGTAGGTAACTGATGCCATGGCATCTGCGGAAAACCGATTTCAATGTAAGCGATCGGCCGACGGCTCCAAGAGAGTTTGTGCTCCGGATTGTCAGAGTCCAAAGGTAATGTCTCCATTGTAACAGAAATCAGTATGGAGTATCAAACTCCGATGGGGATGAGTGGATTGACTGTATTTTACTCTGTTAGCTAATGTAAAATGTTTACTTATGCAGACAAGTGACGGTAAAAAACGGAGGAGGGTAATGGAACGACAATGTAATGTGCTTGTGGGCTAAAAATCCCAGTTTTGTAACCTCTACTTTGCACATCCTTTTTTTTCTTTATTTAAAAATTATTGTGCACAAATTGTACTTTTGTCCTATTTCGCGAGGTAAACACTAACAAATGGTTATCATTTCAATAAATATGTCCTTTACGGAGTTTTAATAAAATAAATGATATTTTATTCCATGAAAATTCAAGTTTTCTTTGATCCAAACATCAATTGGACCATAAGAAAATATGTTGCAATTAAGAGAAATTTGATGGATAAGCCAAGGCAGGCGACTTCATCGAATCACACGTTGGGGCCTTGACTGTTGTTAGTAGGGTTGTAAATGATATGAGTATCTTTTTATAGTGAGTATCTAGAGATCGATTCAATCAAAGTTTGATAAATACGTGATTTGAGTTTGATGTTGACTTGAATTTTTATCGAAATAAAATAAGTTTGATACTCATTAAAAATTAATTGAATTTTGAATCAAATAAAATCTTTTTAAATCTGTGTTGAACTAAATTTTAGATAAAAAGATATTTATACAAATTAATAAGAAATTCAACCTAACTTAACCTATGCCAATTATATTTGGAGGCCAACCCATCTTTTCCTTCTTTTATAAGACTTACAGGTTTTCTTTTTATGAATCAATTAACTTATTATAAATTTAATAATTAGCATATATATATAATTTGATAATAAATTTTAGGCTTAATATAAAAATAAGTGCTCGAATTGTCTTAAAAAATGTTTTAGTACCTAAAGAATTTTTCGTTAAAAATATGTGCCTAACGTTTTTTCAGTTATACTTTTAGGTTCCCACAATCTACTTTTAAATTTTTTAAATAATAAAATATTATTTTTAATTAAAAAATAAAAAAATTATTTATTTACAAAAAAAATCTATTTTTTTACTAAAATTATAAAAAACCCTAAAAATTAAAATCTCTCATTTCAACCCCATTACCAACCGTCGCCGGTCATATCCGGATACCATCGTCGAACGGTCACCCACCTGTCACTACCTACCCTATTGATCAATCATCATCCTTACCATGACAAAAAAATCCCTAGATCTAAATCCCCAAAATCCAAATCCTTAATTCCCAATTTCAACTTCCAAACCCAAACGGTCGCCACCCATTTCCTGCCATCATCGTCATCGCCGAAAGTTTGGATTTTGATCGAAATTGCACGGTGGTTTGAATGGTGACAGCAGTGTGGCTTGTGGGCATCAGAATCGAGGAAAAAATAAGACGTTGGCTTGAAAATCGACGAAACTTTGAATGCTTCTCTACGGCAAACAGTGACATGTTATGACGAAATGTCAACGGGAGATTGATCGAGGGTTGACGCCGACACCGATGATGGTGGCGGTGATGGTCACCGTCGGTCAGTTGACGATTTATTGAAGGGGTAGGGGGAAGAGGAAGGGGGAGATGGAGCAAACGGGGATTACTATTTGGTTTTTTTTTTACAATTTTTTTATTATTTTTTTATAAAAATATCAAAATTACGATAACGTGATGTTTCACTTAACAGTGATATTTAATGACGGTTAATGTCCGAACACTTAAAAATATAACATTTGAAACATTAGACACATATTTTTAGCGAAAAATTCCTTTGACACTAAAACGTTTTTCAAGATATAGTTTGAACACTTATTTTTGTATTAAACCTAAATTTTATTATACAATAATCAATATAGTTAAAGGATATATTTTTTATAATAAAACTCTAGCCGCTTTCTTCCTCAGCCTCTCTCTTCCTTTTTTTTTTCTTTACAATTTGTGTCAATTTTATTGATCAATCCAACTTTTTCTTATTTAATTTGTTTAACCGGCGGTGACACCGGTTTTGATACTAGTTGCCGCCTATCAGTTATTTTTTTTAGTTTTTTTAATAAGAATAATTATGTCTCTTTGACATGCTTCTTTGCATTTATGACGCGTTTTTCTCTGCCTTTGTGGCACGTTTTTCTGTCTATTGTAGTTTACGATTTTTTGCTGTTGTTTTCGTTTATATTTTTTCTCAGGGTTGGATTTGATATCGCCACGACTGATCAAGATGTCGCTTATTTGTTATCATGATGATCTTTCTTGCTTTGGACCATCAGATTGATTTGGATACGCGTTTTACGTTCGTAAATAGTTTTCTCACGTCGTTTGACTCTGATTTGCGATTTGTCGGTGGCCTTCAATAGCTTCATCCTATTTTGTGGTTCGTTTGTCGATGCAGTCAAATTTGTTTGTATCCTTATTTTGTTAGAGCATTTGTTAGATTTCTTTAATCTTTTCTTTTTTGATCATTGTGTGATTTAGGTAACTATTTTTTGTGTCAATGGTTATAGAAAATATCCAAATTATAATTTTGTTTATATTTAAGATTTACTTGTAAATCTTCATTGTAATTCTGGATATTTTCTATTTTTAATAAAACTAACGACTTTCTATAAAAAAATATCATTTTTATTTATATTTGATATTTACTGCTCATTATATTTATGAAAATAATTATTTTTTTAATTCTATCATTCAACTAAAGAATAAAAATAAAATACTATTTATTGACACACATGACCAAAGCCAATGGGCATTTATTAATGCCCACATCATACTGTTCCCTTCCCATTACCAAATTAAAGAGCCTTTTCGTCCTACCTTCACCTTCTTCAGTCTTCCACTACTCCCAATATATAAAAATACAAATAATTAAGGACCAAAAAAAATATTACAAACACATACATTGTTCATTTATTTATTTATTTATAACCAGTGTCTTTTCATAGTAAGCAAAGCCAAATCAATAATATAACCAATAACAAAGTTTAAAGACGACGGCCCAAAGTTCTTGTCCCCAGACATACAGCAAAATATTCACGTTTCTGTCAATACTTAATAATTACCACTATTATATTAGTCTTAATTAACACAAAAACACCCTAATGATTATTAATAATATGGAAATAATAAAGTCAATCTGCTCCATTCATCCATGCATCCATCTGCTGCCTTTTGCATGTTATGATGATGATGATGATATGTTCGTGCATGCATGCATGCAGTAGGCGTCGGCAAAGATCAACAAACAGCAGATTGCTCTATCATGTCCCTACTTCCTTCAGCTCATCTTCTTGCATTTCTCCACAGCTTTTGGTGCTGAAATCGACATATTAATCAAATTCAGTAAAATAAACAAAAAGTTTCGTTTTTAGTTAACTCTTTGAAAAATACTTACCGAGTCCGATCGCCTCTGTTCCTTTCATTATGCGCAACCTTTTGCATGATTCCACGAACATCCTATATCGGAATAGAAATGGAATATAAATTAATCTGATTTCATGTAAAAAAATGATAAGTAAATTTGGATTGTCCGAATTAATTAGGGTATGGAAATGGGTACATACTCCCAAGGGACATCACCAACAAGCATCCAATCACCATCTTTGTCCTCATAGGTAGGAACATAATCAGAGCCATTAAGGAGATCCATGAGCTTGCTCTCATTCATGAAATCCTTCAGCCCTTGGGATCCACAGTTTCCTTCATTTTCCCTCAACATTATTAGTTAATCACTACCGTATGCATTATAAATGTGTATATTCATATTACCTTTTATTATAATAAATTTTAAAAATATAATAATCTTGACACGATAATAATTGTGAAAAAAAATCGAATGTAATACTACTAATAATAATAATGGAAGTAAGTGGTGAATAATTTACTAACCGATAGTGAAATAGCTGAACATTTTGGCTAAAGCATCAGAAAGCTGGTGGTAACTTGTGTACATCCTCAGGTCCACCTTCCGGAGGTAAGGCGCGCCGTCCATGCTCACCTTCACGAACGCCACCTTCTCACCGCTGCTCTCGTCGCTGCCGCTCTTTCGGATGGCGGTGGCTAAAATGTTCTTTCGGAATGATCGGACTGGTGGCCATCCCACAACTTGCGCTCTAAAATAATGTAGTATATGTATCCATTCATTAATTGAACTATATATATTGACCTTCAATTTACTTTTTAACCAATTAAGAATAGAGTATGAAAAAAAATAAAATTAATCAAAATATTGAAGGAAATTTTATTTCTATAAAAATAAAATGACACGGCCCGTTGATGATTGATAAACCTTATTATATGTATACCTTGCTTCCTCTATCATATATTTGAAACATAATAATAAAAAAATTAAAAATATTTATATGATTTATTTTTTAGGTTCTTTTGATTTTGAGTTGAATTAGATCACACTTCGTTTTGAGTAAGGATGTGTATGAATCCAAATTCAACGGATTTTGACTTAATCAAACCTTATAAGTTTTTTATATAAAAAAAATTTGGGATGATTCGGGATCAAACAAAAATAATCGAACTAATCCGACCCGAGATAATAGAATAATATTACACTATATATTTAGTGATAATTGTTATAATACCTCTTCTCTATTCTTTTCAATTAACTTACTATTTTTACTGAATAGAAAATAAAAAAAAATATGAATTGTTTTTTTGATATATCATACATCTCATTTCAAAATGAATTACAGAGATATAATAATAATAAAAAGAATTACATCTAAAAAAATGTCTAAGCTTCCACAATGATATATATATATCCACTTCAAATATCCAAAGTTGTTCATGATCAACGTAATTAACATATCAAAACTACGCCTCTGCCTCTCTTTTCTGATATAATATGTGAGAGATGATTACTTAAGTACCTAATAATAACCCTAATCAGTCAAGCTATAAACATGGTTTAACATATATTCCCCAGGAAGAACTAAACCATTTTTTATATTAAAAGAAACTCAGAATTACTTTTAACAATAAGAAGAAAAGGATGAAAGTACAACTTACTTGGCGGGAGGCTTAGCAGGATCAGTTGCAGAAAGGAGAAGATTCTTCTCCTTGTTCAGACCAGTCACCTTCTCATCATTGGGATCCATCCCAGAGGTGTCCTGCTTCGAGGAGGAAAGGTTAAGCTTCAGATCAACAGTCTCTGAGAATCCTCTTTTCCTCACAACTTCACCACCTTCTCCGCCGCCGGGCAACCCTAGCCTCAGCTCAGTCTCTTCGAACCCCATCTTCTCCTTCTCGAAGCCTCCAACGTGATCTCCTCCTCCTCCTTTCATACTCATCATCTTCAGCCCGACTTCCATAACTCTTCCTTTCTCCGATGGCTTCGTGCCCCCGTCTTGGCCTTGGCTTTCTGGGGTTTTTGAGTTTGGTTTGATGCTTTGAACTGAAACTTTGAAAGCGAAAACAAACAAGAAGAAGAAAAACAGGGTAATGAGATTATTGAGTGATGAACAACAACAACAATAATAAGAATAGCAAACGTTTGGAGAGTGTTGGATGGGAGGGCTATAGAGGGTATTAATAATGTTAACGTAAGAGTGCACTGTCGGTTTAAGATTGGGGATGTGGACACGTAGCAAAACATGTGAGCTGGATCATCCTAACTTGCCGGGATAGGTGACGACAAGGTGAGGTTAGCATCCTATGATTGTGTTATTCCTGTGTACGAAAAGAAAGTCGACAACCTTTGTTGGCTGCCGCTCCTCTCCTCATTCTTTTAACTAGGGTTTGTCCCACCCTCTCCTTTTTAATTTAAATTCCTTAATAACTCAATTGGGATATTAATGACAGTATTTTGCAATAATAGGGTGATAATGATTCTTTTGATAATGAATTAACTAAGATCTTAATGATTAAATAAATCGTTATTATTTCTAAATATTATGATTTCGAGCACCAGCGATTGCAACAGAGTAATTGAACATTTATTGTCAAATGATTGAAAGTATTTATAACATATATTATTTTATAATCACTTTAACTTAATAAAAAAATTAATAAAACTCAATAAAGCAATAATCATGTATTATATTAAACTTTATATGAATGGACCTAGAAGAAACTATTAAGTAGGGATGATATTTAGATTTGAATCTAACGGTTCTAACATAAAATCATGCATCCGTCCTATACGTATGTATACCTAGCAACATAGAATTTAGTGCTCAGAGAGATGGGACGAAAGAGAAGCATATGTTGGGGGTTGTGGGCAGTGTTTACATTAATTAGACTGCCTTCCAAAAGGAAATGCGTGCTCAAAAGGAGAAACCATGAACACCAATTTGACTATGGCATTGGCACGCACAAAAAGGGATTCTCTAACTATGCTTCATTTCCATCTTTAATATAGTGTAATCTCATATATTTTTATATCATGTGATCGTGTTTGGTCAATATTTCCAATTGCATGTACACATGGAGGCCACGATCCCGTTTCATATATCCCCCACTTACCATTGCATTGTACGCGGTAACATATTTACAGTAGGGTTAACGAAACTAGAATCTTTCATTGGGGGAGGTTCAACATATTTTACGTTTCTTCAACTTGCAAATCTTAACAATTATAGTTGGTATTTTCTTTGGAACTACTAGTATTCGATCTATTAATCGACTAATTCAGATCGGGTACTGTAGAGGCGAGGGCGACCCTCTCAACCCTTCTATTCGTAACCGTTTGGGTTCGAACTCCTAACCCTACTTAAAGAATCTAGTTCCTCATCCCACTAGACCAACCGGTTGTTGATATATTGTTTAGTTATATTAATAGATATACCATTGTTATTTTTTAATATCCACTCAAACCTAAACGGCTAGATTGATATGGTACGTATGTCTATATACTCCATGCCATGAACTTTAAAAAAGAAGAAAATCTTGATTAGTCCAAGAAAAAGATGGAAATCTATTGTAATCATTCATATCTTTCTAGATAATAAGTAAAGTCCCATATCTTTTTTTGAATCATCAACATAATATAACCTTTTTTATATCATAAATATCACCTTTTGAACTTTTATTTTAAGTCCAATTTGTATTTGGGAGAATCTTATTATCATTAATATATAATTTATGGGTAAATTACTATAGGAGTCATTTTTGTTTTCAAAAAGTTATATTTCAATCATTTACACTATTGTTATAATTTCGTCATTAAATTGTTAACTTTCGTCGTTTTTATGGTTTGACATATTAAACACGATTAATTTTTAATTTAACTCTTGATTTCAGATAAAATTTAATTTAATGGGTAAATTACGCGTTTAGTACTTAAACTATCAGTTTAGTACCTAAACTTTCAATTTTTTCAAAAGCATACCTAAAGTTTAGCTTTTGTTTCATTTTAAAACCCATGTTCAAAATTTAACGTTAATTTTTAATTGTTTTTAAAAGTTTAGGTATTAAAACGGATAAAATTGATAGTTTATGTACTAAATGCGTTAAGTTTTTAACGATGTGGTACTAAAATGAAACAAAAACTAAACGTTAGATACGGTTTTAAAAAAATTAAAAATTTAAGTACTAAAACGGATTAAAAACTAATATTTTAGGTAAGAAATAAGTAAGTTACCCTAATTTAATTTACCCATAATTTACCGAATCAAGTTTTTTTCTTCAACTTTCACACATACACACAACTTATTAGTAAGTGGCAGCCAAGTGTAATAGAAAAGCATGTGATAAGATTCATTGGAGGGGGAAATTTAGGGGGGGAGGGGGGGCACAAAGTGGCCATGTGAACTTGTTTGCTTATGGTTGTGTATGTCGCTTTTGTCTCAAACCCTATCCCATGTGCGCCGCTACAGGGCATCCCACTTCCCCTTTAAACAAAGTTATACTTAATTAATCGAACATTTTTAATTATTCTTCACTTATTCCTTACGTCTAACCCTAACTCGGTATTAACTATTAATTAAGACTCTACTGCATTACGCCCATAATTCATTTTCACCAACGTTAACATTGGTAAAGTTGGCAAGGTTAGAATCCTTGGATCAGAGATTTAAAGGTATAGAACCCGAATTCGATGGGTTTTAACCCGATTCGATCTGATAGGGTCGAATTTTTAAAAAAATATCGAGTTTTGGTCGGTTTGTTAAATGTTATGTTCGAGTCGGGCCAGGTTTGGTTTTAAGATGAAAGACACTCGACCTAACCCGACCAGAAAAAAATGTAATTTTACTTTATATATTTATGGATAATTGCAATAATATCCATCTATATATTATTTTCTTCAATTAAATTCCTATTTTTATTGAATAAAAATAATATTTTTTAATAAATTTATTATTTCGGGTCTAGTCAGGTCGGGTTCGGGTCGGGTTCGAGTCGGATGGAAGATGTGTATTTTTCGAGTCGGGTGAACGATTTATAATTTTTGGGTTGGGTTGGGTCGGGTGGACCAAAGACCCGTCCCAACCCATGCCCATTCTAGTTATAGTTTTTTTTTATTAAGCTAAGATGATTACAAAGTAGTATCTGTTCTTGATAACCATTTGACAATGAACGTTCAATCACCCTACTACAGCTGCTAGTGCTCGATATCGTGACCTCTAAAAACAATAACAATTCATTTAATCACTGAGGTAAATTGGTTTGTGTCCGTCCTAGTTATAGTTAAGTTGTAATTTGATTTTTATATGATATTTAAATTATTAAAATTTTCTTACCCTTTAATAAAAAATATTAAATATTTAAACATATTAAAATTAAAAATTTTATATGTTAATCAAATTAAAATTATTATTAAGAGCTACAAATATAATCTCATTAATTTCGTCCCTAAATAATTACTTGTTATTTTTATTAATCTGATATAAGTATAAAATAATATATGTTCAAAGATAACTCTCAATAATTTAATATTGAACGTTTACACCCATAACATTTCTGATAATTATTAAACCCGAGACCTCAAGGAATAACAACAATTTCTTTACCAATGAAGTCATGTAATTCGTGCAATTATTTGTTATTCTCATATGAAATAGGGGTCACTCGTTCATCCTTTTAATTATTTTTAAATAATATAAAAATAAAATCGTCATTGGTCATCGTCATTATAATCCAATGATCGTTTCTCTCTCTCTTTCTTTTAAAAAAAGAATAAATTCGGGATAAACTAATAATTCCTCCATTATTGACCAAAGATACTGTTATATTATTCCCTATTGGCGGTGGTTATGGTCCTGGAGATTTAAAAATAGCAATAATAAAAAAAATAAAGGTCAAATGGTAAGGTTTGGGGGTTCAGAAGGAACCCTAAGGACCGAAAATGGTCAAGAAAACTAATACACGTACGTGAGAATCGCTTGTTGCTCCTATATACCTTCTATGCTTTTAATAAATATATATATAATTGCAGCTAATTAATGTAATCTCAGTTCAATGCTTTTAAGAATTTTATGTTATTTTCTCTAATTTTATTATTTTTATAAGATATGAGATTATTTTAGATCGATGAAAAGGTTCAACGTTAATATTATGTGACGTTAATTTATCATGATTCATGCTCAAGCTCCTTCCAACAACAACATTTGAAAGTTTCGTTTGGATCAATGAAGATCCAACGACCCATATTAATTTGTATTTGTTGTTACATATATAGTCGAAATAATATAATATATTGAAAGAAATAAAATTTAAAGATAATCATACAAAAGATACGAATATTTTTGACAAATTCTGAATATAACGTTAATCCTATCTATAACAGAGGGAAATGGAAGATTTTAAGAAAAGAAAAAGGAGAGTGTTCTTAATGAATCTAGAATATGAAGGAATAAAGATGATCAATTTGATTAACCAATTAAATTCGCTTGCTCAAGATATGAAATATTTAAATTTTAAACTTATTTAATATAATTGGTAATTGGTGTTGGTGGACGAAGCCCTAATATTATACAACAACAAAACCCTATTCCCATATGCAATGGGGTAAGGGGGAGGTAGGATAGTAGGTTGCCCCCAACGCCAGGTTGAGAGTAGCTTCCGTGGAGGACTCCGGCAGTCAGAAAATTAAAAATAAAGATAAAATACAATGCATGTATAAATAAATAAATACATAGTTGATCAGTCTTCTTGTGCAGTTTTTATATGTGCGTCTGAAATGGAAAGAAATCCCTGTAAATAAATCATGCGAAAAAATCTCTACATATAGACAGAAACGTAAGACCTGGCTAAATTTAAAAAGAGGAAACATGAAGAGAATGATACACAAAGTCAGCGATAACAAGCTACAAAAGGAATAAAGTCAAATGGATTAAAACCTAAACTAATGCAACACTACTCCGCTACACGAAGCCCTAATATTATGCTACCATCAATTAATCAACATGTTCAATATTGACCAAGTCTTAGTTTCTTTGAACTTGGAGTCATACGTAGTAGGTTACCGGTCCAAGTTATGGGAAGCGGTAGAAATATGGTAGGGTTTATTGGATGAGATTCGAGTTTAAAATCTTAAAATATTCGTAGATTTTTGTTTTG